TTCGCCTCAAAAATATCTGTAGTTTTATCTCGACTCCTTTCAGATAACCTCCCCCTTTCTTACCCTCTTCATTCTCAGCTCTCACATCACTCATTCACTCGCTCCCCCTCACCTTCCCTCAGAGGCCTTCCTCCCTCCCTCGTTTCCCCCTTGCCCTCTAACTTTTGGTCCTTTCTGGCTGCAACAAGGACTCCTTAACAGCTCTACCTGAATCAGCCCTGTGTTTTATCACTTGAACAGAAAACTCACACAGTCCACATGACTGGATGTGACGTCGACTTCTGTTTACACTCAGTTCATCATAGAGCACTTTTATAACAGGAAAGGAACAATGAACAGAGCCTATAAAACTGCACTCATGCTGGTCTTTATATCATTGTGAATTTATTCATGGAAATTAGAAGATTTAAACCAATTAGGAACTTACTGTGTGCTGTCAAATCGAGTCTTTAAGCCCTCATGGCAGTTTTCATAAGAGCTAGTGCTGTATCCTTTCAATTTCCAAAGACATTTTGGCCAATAATCTCGTTCAGAAAAAGAAGCCTTCTCAGCTTGACAACATTGTTTAGAACTAGTAATAAAAAGTAATAAAGTAATGCACTTATTCACATCACTTATTCATCAGCAACAGTGTTTCACTTTCAAGCAGAAACGTTCTTGTTTTGCTGCTTTCCTTCATCATTTGTGAAGTTAACGTGTGGTTGTAGACTTGACTAGACAACACAAATAGATGTGACATTATAGTAGGTTAGTGTGTAATATGCTTCATAATTTTTGGAATTTAACTCAAGTTAAAAGTCAATTAATTGAGAAAATCATTCAAATATTTTTTGGGAAAATTGAAAATAATTAGTTTCCACACTATGTACACCATTTAAAATCACAGAGTGACAACAACGTGTGTGTATCTGTTACCTATAATAACGACAACACCTCAAGTCAGCCCTACATGTCTGCCATACATCACAGTATCAGTTGATTATTGTAGAGTCTTTACCATACAATATATAGTGCCTTGAGACAACTGGTGCTGTGATTTGGTGCGATAAGAATAGAACTGAATTGAACTGAAGACTGTCCTTTAGAAGGAAAAGAGCAGCAAGTAAGTATAAATGTTTGTCCATTTCTGGCTGCTTCACGGGGCAGTAGCAGTTTAAGCTACCTAAACTACCAGACCTCCCAGACCTCCCTGTCCCTAGCCACCTTCTTCAGCTCTTCTTCAGGGGCACCACTGTCCGAAGCCTGGGTCCTGGCTCTACTCTGAGGTCTCCTTCTATTTGGTCATACCCAAAACACCTTAATTTGCTCTTTTCCATGTGGAGGAGTAGAACCTCTACTGTGAACCTCTGAGAATCCCTCCATGAATCACGCCTTTATCGTGTTAAAGGAGCTTTGGTGATGCCAGCAGGTGTCACTTTGCCCCTGGTAGAGTCTCCCAAGGCAGATTGGTCCCGGGTGAGGGGCTGGCCTAAGGTTGATTTAGAGTCAAAGTGACCTCTGAAACAATGGACCATGTTTATCAGGCCTACCCTGGATCCAGGCGTGGGGCAGGTGCTGGTTGGCGAGCCTCTGGGGCCCTCAGCCTGAATGAGCCACATAGGCCAGCCCTCCCGTGGATTGTTCAGCCGCAGTGTGGATCAGGAGGTAGTGAAAGGCAGAGGGCTTAAAACCGGCTCCCGGGACATGTTTCACATGTCTTTGTTTATTTGTTTGCTTATAATTCCATTTTAATCAGTTATTAAGGTTTCCTGATGAGCTTTCCCTCGCTGTCTCCCAGTGAGTCTTTTCCTGTTTCAATACGGTAGGTTATGTTCATTTGATTAACACCAAGAGTGATGGAGCAGTGAGTGTGGTCACAGTCATAGAGTCTGAAAAATATCAATATCCAGCAGTAGGTTATTGATAACATGGCAGTTTAGCCCCATTATTACACCTACCCATGGAAAGAATGACAAAAATATGTTCGAAAGTCAGTCAAGTTTAGTGTGTTACTCTTCAAATGTTGTAGTTCTTTTTAAGCATTTTAACTTCACTGTCAGATGTTCTTTGGCATATTGTTAATACATCACATAACACAGAAAATTACATTATAATCAATCCGAAAATCTTTCAGTACATCAAGAAAAAGAGTGGTTAATCATCACTTTTAGTTTAAGGTTGTAAAAGTATCTTTAAAAATCTCATATCGGTGTGCAGCTGTAAATTCACACAGCACCATAAACACTGGACAATTATGAGCCATTAATATGTTTGAATGTGTTAGTTTCAAAGACCCACACAGATAAAGTGTTGACTGGCTCATGAACTCCCTGACCTCAGATTTTCCCGTCTCCAGCTGTGCACACACAATCCTCTCTGCTCTCTGCAGATGTGGAAAGCAAGCAACAAGTCCTCTTTGCAACCAAAATGTGACGAAGGATTTCACAGTGCAAAAGCATTTCAGTTTTGTTTTGTGTGTGTGTGTTTTTTTTGTTTTGTTTTAAACTTGCCTCTGAAGTGTTAAAAGCAACCAGCTGAAATTGCCATTTTCACCTGTGGTGCCTGGCCTTGAACGAGGCCTTTGTGGCGTATTTCTTCCAGGTCCATAATACCCAACCTTTATTTCACACATTTGTGCCAGCACGCCGCTTTTCCCTCGCTTCCTCTCCCCTCCCTTGTTTTCTCAGCCTCCTTTTCTTTTCTTCCCTCCAGCCTCACTGCGTCTGGAAGCTGCTGAAGAGCTGAATGGTCAGAGCCAAGATGAAGTCATCGTGTCTTTATATCATTATATTCTCCTTTTACCTTTTTTAGTCACAGAAAACCCATAAGGGTGGGGCGCCGGGGCATAGATTGGCTGTCGATGGGAACAACACACACACACACCCTTTAACCCTGCTATGTGCCCACTCTTGCTCCTCCAGCAGGCCCAGTCCTTTCCATCCCAGTTCCCTCACTGTTTCCATGACAGAGCTTCTTTAAATGGGCACAGTCACATTTTTTGGAGGGAGGGGAGGCGGGATGGTGTTTAAGGTGATGCTGACATTCGGTGGATAGTACTCCACTTTATGGTTACTCAGGAAATAATCATTGCTTGTGTGGTGCAATATGTCTATGTGGAAAAAAAAATCTTTGAAGGTTCACCAGCTTTCATTTGGAAAATGCTGGTTTGCCACCTTCCCTTCATAGCCAACAGAAGACAACAAAGACTACCTGTGCTGTCTAAACCCGCCCCTTAATAAACCAGTGCTCAGCCTGTTTTCTAAGAGTGTAAATTAGGTTATTTATTGCAGCTACAACTGTCCAGTTGCAGGTTTTTGAGGAACTGCTCATCCAAACATGAATGAGTGATTTGAATCATTTGACACAGGAAACCAAAGACATAATGCAATATCATGTTTGAGTTGAGAGGTTTCGTGTTAGAAATAGGCTCGGGCTCCACCTTTTATTTGGTTCGATTTGCACTTGGCGGCAGCAGGAAGAAAAAACTCCCTTTTAACAGGAAGAACCTCAGACAGGAGCAGACTCAGGGAGGGGCGGGGCATCTGCTGCCACCGGTTGAAGTTCAGGGAACTGAGAGAAAAGACACACTATTATAATCACTAAACTTAGGGGTAAGAGGTTGAATCCAAACAATCCAAATCATTGATAGTTTGTCCCCTTTATAACTATTGTGTGCTGGGATGATGTAAAGTTAGTGGTGTGGCGGCTGTAATTAACTGGTGGGCTGCCCAACTGCAATAGTTGGAACTGGAGCATTTGTTTAGGTGGCT